TATGTTTGCTACATTTGCTTACGGTAAAACTCCCATAATTTGTATGGGCCAAACCTCATTATATGAATAATCACCACAACAAATTTCAAGGTTGTCCAGTTGCCAGATCTTGTATGAAACACATCTTTCTCACACAGTCGACGCATACAAATTTAAACCCATTTGTCCCCTCAACTTGGCAACCTACAGCCCAGTGTTGCTATTGATATGTGCGCAGGTAGTACCGCGGGAAGGAAACAATGATCACTGGTAGAAATGGGAGGAGAAGACTCGGGTGGTGCTCCAGTGAAAAAAAACTGAATATACATGTAAATGTATATTTACATGTAAAATGAGATATAGCTTACACTTCAAAAGGCTATTTAATTGATTAAATATGAGCGCTGCAATTTTCAAAGTCAGGTGCTGCCCTGCTTTGTTTACTGCGGTTACCGGGAAAACGGCTATATTCCTGTCGAAAAGCGCCACCTGCTGGCAGAGAATGAATTTGCATTTTTCAATAAGCCCTTATGCTTTTTGTTTAGACCAAAGCCAAAACCAAAGCCAAAAACGACCCTTATTTCTATGCAGAAAACACGCAGTTGTAAATGTGAACGGGTGGATCGACAAGAAGATAATGAATTATAATAATCTAAAGATATAGCCTACACGAAGATATATTTATTTTACTAAATTATTATAATTGTTTGATAATAATTGTTAAAATTAATATAAAAATAATATAATATAATATAAAAATTTTTACTTTTGACTCCGACCCCCCCTCCCGTATTTTGGTACCCAAATATTGACAGGTATGCACTAATAATGAATCATTTTTCATAATCTGTAAACTAGTTTGAAAACATTGATTAAAATGAAAACATTCATTTTAATATTCACTCTCTTCTTTGATTGTTATTTTTCAGGGTACTGCAGTATTCTGGTATAACCTTTTTGCCAGTGGAGAAGGAGACTACAGCACAAGACATGCTGCCTGTCCAGTATTAGTAGGCAATAAATGGGGTGAGTCTGTAGTAAATATGACATTTATGTATTATTCTCTTAATAATAAGCGAGTTTGGAAATGTAAACGTTTGGCCAACCACATCTGTAACAAACTTTTCTCACTTGTTTTATTCTCTCTCTTTTTTTTTTTTTTCTCTCCAGTATCGAACAAATGGA